CATAGTCCCATACTGCGAGAGATCATAAGATATGACGCTTTCCACCGTTGGAAAAACAAGAGGTCTAAACAACAAATAATAAGGACAAACTAAACAAAAAAGGAGTGAGAGAAAAACAGAACACGTCATCAAATAAAGTAAATCATCACAGACAAAAACCTTAGAGAGAAGCACAAATATACTAACAGGATAGTCCATAGCTCTACAAGTCGAAGACACTGCTAATCGCTGCGCTGTGTGGGCCCCAAGGGATGTGGATCAATCAATATCAATAGGACGATGAATAGGACAGCGAAAGCCAACCAAAACAAAAAAAATATATATAAAAACAAAAAACCCGGGCAAGTAGGGCCAAACACTTGAGCAACAAGTCTCCGGAGGTAGTTCGGTGCGGAAACTTGGGGCCCAAGCAAGCAATTTTAGATTCGCGGACAAGTCACTACAGGATATAAGAAACAAAACGCGTCATGCTGTACTGAATTTGAATCGGTTAGGGAACCATGTTGGAGTTCTATTAACCAGGACGTGTAGAACATTTAGCTGATATTTGTACCCCTATCGCGAATCAGTGTGCTGTAGGGGGAAAGGGAGGGTCTGGTGAACATGTCTCTTAGGCTAGGCTTACTTAAATTACTTGCTTAATTGCTATGTGAACAGTGAAGTATGACTGAGACTCCGGAAACATCCATGCAAACTACAGAGAGGAAGTCGAAAACCAAGAAACTGGAGTTTGACATTAATTTTATTGATGTTACCTTATCTATAGGTTTAACTCTATTAACCGCAGAAACCTTTCCGAAAATTTTATTTGCTTCTAATGGAAATCATTTTACCAACTCACTAAATCATATCACAAAATCATCCCTCAATTTCCATAATTTCAATACCATACTTCTTTTTTCTCAAACTAATTATTAGAAATTCCAAAGAATTCCAAGAAATTTCCAAATTATTAGAAAAACGAGATTTGCTCTTCTTCGTGACGCTATTCATTCGACTAGTCGAAAACTAGATGTCTAAAATACACACATTTTGAATACCTGGTACTTCATTCATTCTTTCATTGTACATTCCATATTATGGAACTTTCAACCGTATAAATAGATAGCCTAAAATATTTTCGAATCAAAGACCGAATCTCAAGCACAGCTAATTGCCAAACCAACTTCAAATCTTACAGCTTTGAAACCCACCACAATCGTCCACAACTTGTCTGACACTCCCATTGCTACCACTGCCACTCAAGCTTTAGCAAAAAATGTCAACATAAATTTTTTAACACATAGAGTGTTTGCGTAGGTACGTCAGCATATATGGTAAGTAGTTATACATGCATACATGCACAAGGGGTTAGTAAGTATATATTCACTCAAATTATTGGACAGAGCGGCTAAGGAATCAAAATTGGTTATGTGATCGACGGATCAGCCCGTAACAGTAAAGGTCAATTCAGACACATCAGTCACGTCTCGTCACAGTGATTGCGCCGAACCGAACAATCCGTCATACAAAATATTATTTTAATACAAATATGTTGCGGCATTCACACTCATCAGTTGACAAACAGTTTTCCAGCTGTCAGATAGTTGATAGTTCTGTGACCAAACAGGACCGGTTCGGCGCCGAGACTATGACGAGACTGATGTGTCTGAATTGACCTTTAGACCTATCTAAGCCGGCATTGCGACGTTATCAATTCTAAGAGCACAGCTTGTACAGTTGGCTTTGACTGAAGATGCCTTTGTTTCACCTATTAAAATTTTTTTTTTGTTTTGACAGAAAAGAATTATAGACGGTAAAAGTATTTTGATTGTACACTGATCACAGAGATATAATATGTATATTAACTACATGTTACCTTCAATTTCGTCAAATCTTTAATGTTAAAGTTGTGTTACAAATGGCAGTATATAAGAAAAGAATTGTGTAAACTATAAAAATATGTATATTTAATAAGTCACGTACAAAGTTGCAATAAAAAAAATCACTGTAAGAATAAAATATTATCAACTTTTAAAAGTTTCATGGTCGTTTTTTTCTACAATTTTAGTCGATACTACCACCAGTAGTCGATTCACTGAAACGTACAGTTTTACAAGAATAAACTTCACAAAAACAATCTTCATTGCCATGACGTTTGCAAACCACTTGCGGTTCTAGATGCTTATTTGCGTATATTAATTTCAATTCCGGTTGTTTCTGGCGACGTTTCTGCGTTTTCAATAAATCAGTCTAAAACAAATAGCATATGATAAATATGTACCCTATACAACAATGATATTTTAACTACATTCTATTTTAAATCTACAGAACTGTTATTGTCTAGATAAAATATACGGAAGATCATACTATTGACAGATTTAATATTGACAAAAAAATTTAATAGCAAAATATAAAAACATGAAACATTTTATTTAATTATATCTGATCAATACAATCTTTTACAATTTCTAGGGTAGAATACATTTGACCCCAATCTATTGATGTTTGCTGCTGTTAAAAGTTTTAACATATACAATTATTCATACTGTTGGCTAGAGTTACATTTAGACACATACTTCCGATTGCATTGACTGTTTGTTCATACATCCATTCTATAATATCATTTTGAGTAGTTGCTACCTGAAGTCCGTTTATACTCTCTTTCATAATCATCCGCAACCATGTAAGGTAATACCAATTATATAACATTTAAAGAGTATTCACCCATATATATATATATATATATATATATATATATATATATATATATATATATAGTGGCTTTAAACATGTATACCTATAGAGCGTTCCACGTTAAGAAAATAACATTGCGGAGATAGGGTCATGTATTTCTTATGGACGATATGGACATGAATTAAATTAATGTTTTTTTAAATTAATTGACCAAAAGTGCCCATTCGAAACAAGAGATGAAAAGTAGGGCAAATGATTTTAATTAAATAAATAGTATTTACAAAAGATAATTTTATTTTATCTTATTTTAATTATAGAAAATATTGCTTAGTTAAATCATGCACTTTGTCGGCTATTAAAGATTTAAAAGCAAATAAACGGACCGCTTGGAATGCATATATCTAATTACTAATTGCAACTTAAAATAATACGGTGTGCATATGTCAGCGATTTTATGTTGTTCTCTGAGACTACTAGTTGTTATTCTGACTTTATAGTTAAATGTTAATTCAAAATGGACATTCAAAAATTAAGCCAAGGGAATATCTTGGACATCCGTGCAAAAAAAAATGTTTTAAATGTATTTAATTATCATCTAAACTTAAGAAGTTGTGAAAGTGTTAGAAGTTTAACAGATAAAGTAAGTGCTATGACAGGAATAAGTTTTAGTACTATTTTTAAAATACGCAAAGAAGCTGCGGAAGGAGGACTAATGCCAATAAAAAAACAAGAAAACGTAAAAGTAGAGTGAACAACAGAAAGTTCACTACGATGCAGTAGTTCATACGCGGCTACGTGCCATCATATATAGTTTTTTTCTTTAAAAATTTACCGCCGACATTGAACAAAGTTATTGCACTGGTTAAAAAAGACAAAGATTTAGCAAACATGTCACGCACAACAATGTGGAGAATACTCCATGAAATGAACTTTGTTTTTTGCAAACGAGGAGTAAAGTCAAGCATAATTTAACTGTCCGATATTCTAAAATGGAGAGGCATCAGTATTTGCGTAAAATAAAAAAAATCGTTCTCAAGGATACACCGTCGTTTACTTGGACGAAACTTGGTAAATGTTGGACATAGTGTTTCCAAAGAATGGAAGGACCTCTCAATGACGTCAACCAGGGATGCGTTTGTTAAGGGGTTGTCAACAGGCCTAAAACAACCGACACAACGAGGTCCCCGATTTGTGATAGCGCATGCAGTAGCGAATTGGACTTTGTAGAAGATGCTGCTTTTTGGTTTTTAGTTAAAAAACTCAGCAGACTATCATGGTGAGATGGACGTGTATGGGGACACTACTACACCTCGGAAGCCCTGAAGAAGACATCAGAGAGGATGTCGGCCAAATGGATAGTATTAATCTTAGCTCTCGGTTTAATATATATATATATATATATATATATATTTATTATATATATATATATATATATATATATTATATATATATATATATATAACGTATAGTGTATAAATGAATAGACACTAAATAGAAAAAAGACTGGAATAACCACATAAGCAGACTGGGGAGACACGTGTGGTATAAATAGCAAGAGATAAATCATTAATCGGTAGAATTATCGGTCGACCGCGCAAAAGATGGAGGAACAACTCTGTAATTGAGATACCCTGTATATTTCAAACTAATTTTAAAATGTAGCTTTTATCAACTTACAAACTAATAATTTAATTTTTTTACTCTTTCGCTGCAATCTTTCGTTGCGTTAGTGGTGATTCACCCTGTATATAAGGAAAAATTTTTATTAATAAAAATTTTAATTGTTGTTATTACAAGAAAATAATATTAAAGCTGCACTTTAGCAGTAAAGAAAATAAAAAGCTTTTTTTAGTTATATCTTATTTAAAGCGTTAATCAATATGTAATGTTAAACAATCGTGAAATTTAACTATTTTTATTAGACCTATAATAAATGCATACCTATATTATTATTTTGTATTCAACTATACATATCCTTTTATTAATGAAATTAATTAACTCCAACTACACAGTGCTGAATACTCTGATTAGAATGAACCATATATCGACAATCTAATACCAACGCATGCCTGAGAGTTTTGGCAACACTGATGATGCACTGATCTCCATAAGCGTAATGCTATTTTCTTAACGTGGGACGCTCTATCGTAAGTATAAAACCACATTTGTTTTAACCTTGGTCAAAATTTAACTTTTCATGTTTTTCTTAATTAAAGTGGTTATACTGATTTTAGGTAGCGGTACTAAAGATGCAATCTTTATTCCGAAAATGTTTAATATCTACAATGTTTATAAAAATAGAGCATGGCTCTCTATGGAGATTATTCGTAGATGACCAGGTGGTAATAGCAAATTAGGCTGAAGATATCACATCCATGATGAGAAAATTACTGGTAGAATACTATGAGTGAACTTTTAAAGAAGACATCTAGGAAGCATTGCCTACAAAGAAATTGCAAATAAAAATATAACCTGATCAAATTAAATAAAACACAGGTTGAATAAATTTTATATTAAAGCTTAGATGAAAACAAAAAACATTTTCAAAAAAGTATAAATATGATTTATATAATAGGATCATTGTGTAAATGATGAAAAATTGATCACTTTTACACACAATTTACTTTTATAACTGCTGCGGTAGTTCTTGGTTTTATGAAGGTTTTTATATGACAACAAATAGAGTAGTAAACACAACGAGAGACGGTTTTCCAATAGGAAGACCATCAGTAGTAAAATCACGAAAATGATGGAACAACAACTTACTGGAGGTACATTGAAAACAGACAGAGTCATGTCTAGATAAAAAGAAAAAGAAGAACAGTTGCAATATAACTCTTCCGCCAAGGAAATTTTTTTATACTTCTCTTTTAACTCGGAATTTTTTCCTTCATAAATTTCAAACTTTATGACATAGCCGCGCTGATAAACAAAAATTATCATTGATTCAACTGCCAATTTTCGTGTTCCCTTGATAATTGTGGAAAAAGTCATTCCAAGCATTGATCATTCATCTTCTTTTATATAGCTTATCTGAATTTCTATGGGGATTCTGCTATTATCATTTGCACGAATGGGGAATGAACCGGGAGCGGTGGACCAGTAGTGGCACCAACTAGGTAATTTATAGTATCCCGTTGGAATATTAATACCAATAATAGTAAATAATTCATTCTTCTTCAGATTCAATATCTTTCCATTTTGAGTTGCATAATAAATTGCTTTGGAATGTAATTGCATCCAATATAGGATCCAGTCATTATAGATCCTTGTAAAATTGAAAGAAAACCTCACCACCCGATGGTACTTCGGAGTCCACACCATTTTATACGATATTAAAAGAAAATTAATAAATATCTAATTCTTCTTCTTCTTCGTGTGCCATATCAGATTATGCTACGTTGGCGATCACCATTGTGAAGGCTTCTCGATCTTCTGCAATATGGAATAATTGTCCCGTATTTGACATCCGAGTGCATTCACGAATGTTGCTCAACCAAGAAACCCGTTTCCTTCCTACACCTCTACGCCCTCTATTTTGCCTTTAATGATCAGTCGTAATATTTTATATCGACTTCCCCTTACTATATGTCCCAGATAAGACATTTTTCGATGTTTAACAGTCTTAGCAGTTTTATATCATGGACGTATAAACATAGATGGACACAGCAATAAGATACCTTTAACACACAATGTTTTGAAGCTTCGATAGAATGTGATGCTTCCGCAATGAGCATAAAGCGTGCTTGAATTTTTACTCGCGCGTAATTATTCAGATTTTAAAAATTGGAAGTAGTAATAATGTGTAAAAACACGTTCAAAGAATAAAAAAAACGAGAGTTTAACTATTAACAAATCACGTCTTTATAGAAAAATTAAAATACAATTTTATTTGATTTAAAAGTAATACAATAAAATATAGTTGAATTCAAGTTAATTTTTAATAGGTATCAAAATAATGCTACAATAAAAAATCTTTATGTTTTCCCCTAAATTTGCTACCAAAATAGTTCGATCGTCAATATTATTTGGAAACCTACATAGAAAAATAAATGAGTTTTATTCATTTCACTAATTTATTTGCACCCATGAGAAATATTAAATTAAAAAGGTACTAAATAGATCTTTTTTATTCAGATGATGTCTACTTACAATTTAAAAATGTCTACTAATTTCATGAATTATATCTTATTTAATACATTAATGAACATGAATAAACCCAATGGTACGCCTATTAAAATGTAAACAAACACGCTTCCTCATTTCCTCATCTTAAATAATATGTACTTACAAATGAAATGAGAGATCGGGATGTAAATATTTCGTTTATTTTATTTCACTTTTCACAAACATCACTCAAAATACAGCCAAAATATCGAAAAACAACTTTTACTAAAAAGTAAACAAATATGGAACAGCATTTGAAGTTTGACGTATATCCATAAGACAGAGGAATGTAAACAACCGTTGCCATTTATAAATAGTTTTCAGTGCTTCTACATATAAAATAATTGATTGATATCTAAATTATACGTTATTATTAAATAATAATGCACACTATGTGCACACTTTATATTTTGATTACAATTAAATATATTAATCTAGCCAATAAATTATTATTTTGGTTTGATAGCACCTGTAGAGTATAAAATACGGAGTAATATTTTCAGCGACTCGCGCATAAGAAATTTTAAAACAAAACGTGACAACAGTTGAAGGTGCTGAGAATGTGACCTATTCAAATAATTTTGACTTCACAATTTTATGTAAATAACTGAGTCCATCTGTGTTTATACGTCCATGTTTTATATCTTTGTTGACGCAGTGCTTCAATTTTGTTCATATCTAAATACTAATATTCAGCATTAATAACTTTGATTTATAAAGCAATATTCTTCTAATATAAGTCCTCTTGCAATCCCGGAAATGTTTTTTAACAATAAAATTTACTACCTCAAATCAAACTCTAAAAACACAGTAAATTGCCGAGACAAAATTTATTATTATTGGACAGTTTAAATGTTGCACAAGACTACCAACAGAAAATTTTGTATTTTTGAATTTAAACATAGATTTTATTAATACTTTTCTAAAGTGGTACTTGTATCTTTGATGAACTAAGGGTAAAATATAAATTATCGAGTTGTGTCTAATTGTATTACCGTAACTTCCTTAAGTTTCACAGTCGATTTTGGGTCTTCGGACTTTAACTCATTTTCGATTTTCTTTATAAACTTGTTAACAAGTTCAAACTGAATAGCCATTTGTAGTTTCCTTTGTTGATCTTCAGTGATTTCGAACTAAAACATTTAAACTATTTAAACATTAACACAACACTACGATTATTAAATTCAAACATGTTTAAAATATATAAGCTATTTTTTATACGGCGATTAAAAAAAATAGTAATGGTAAGACATTAGTACTGCAGTTAAAAATTTAAAAACACCCGCTGATAAAATATTTTCATTTGTTTGCAGAACCACCCCATATCAGCAATCTCTAGCTCTGCAGTCCAATGGACAGCCGGAGTGTGACGTCACATCTGTCATTACTTTCCAAACAATAGTTGAAATGTCAAATCTCAAGACTTTTTGATTTCTATAAAGTTAACGTTTTGCTTTAAGGACATTCTAACCTTACTTTATTGATGCATGCATTTTATTGCTATTTTTATAAAACAACATGCTTTATTATTTACACAACCTTGTAAACTTGTTGTAGTAACTATTAGAATACTTAGATATTGCAAGAAGTGAAAAGATTCTGTAAAAAAATTAAAAAATAACGAAAAATACAAATTATCCACACTAAACAACGTTTGTTTGGAAAGTGAAACTGACAGATGTCAATCAAATCTACGTCATCACTCCTGCGGTCCATTGAATCCCTTTAGTGACTGTTTTAATGAACCAAGCATACGATGATAATACGGGAGTGTGAGGCGAATGTTCTAACACTTCTCGCTTCATTGGTCCAAGCACTTGTAACCCTTCCTAGACTTATATTCCTGGCGATGAGACGTAGGCATATATAAGCGTCGTTAATAATCTCATCAAAACGTGTTGTCATTTATGAATTAAAAGAACTTTGATCTGTAGAATTTACTAGAACTAAAAATATAATAAACAATGAAGTAATAGGCAGATATGACGAGAGTACATTAAATGACAAGAGACACAGATTAATAGCCTATGTGTTACGTACAACATGAAGATCAGTCCACAAATATACTTGGATAAAATATACTTAAAAGATAAAACCAATTAAGAATGATTGTATACAGTGGCAAACCCCGAGAATCAAAACATTTTACGTACGTGTATATAGGGGAACATAATGTGGTATTCACCATCATGTTTCAATCTCGGCACCAACAACGACATTTTCATTTCTAAAAATGATACGAACCGTCCATCGTGGATGGACTAATGTGTGCATCGACACTACCTACTTAAAACAGGGTTAAAGATGCAAATGGCTCCGGAACCTATCCAAAAATGCCATACGATAATATTATTATTACCATCATGTTTTAAAAACGATAGTATTGACGACATACAAAAGAATCCAGAAAAAAGGGGAAGAATTTGCTGCTCATAAAGCTATAAAGTGTAAAATAAAACTTACAACATCTCAAACATGAATTAACAAAATTCAAGGCACGATTGAAAATATGAATTATGGTCAATTAACAGGGACAAAAATATCAATAATAAAGATATAACCGCAAATTAATATGTATGAGATAATAGCAAAAACAAAAATTGAAAATAATTGACCAACAGAAAAAACGAGCTCGTGGCCAAGAGAAAAACATTATAAAACGAAACAAGCATACAACATGGTAACAGTTGAATGAGCCTGAGTATAAAAAAGAATATGCTAGATAGAATATATGGAGATAAAAAGGGAAATCTAAACACCGTAAAATTAAGTATAGGGGAAAGGACTGGAAATAACTAGACCGATATAGGGTGGAATATGAATAGGACAACTATGAAAGACAGTGAAAAACTTTAGAATTGATATTAAAAATGAACACAATATTTTTCTAGTCAACACGGGAGATTATAAAGCACATTATAAGAAACTGTACAAGTGGATAAAAATATGTCGCAACATATATATGAGAATCAAACCACAAATAACTTTAGACAGTATCAGGTGTTTCAGAAGTATTAAAAGAAATAAACAATGGCATGGCAACAAGGCTAGAAAATATTCCTATAGAGTTGGTGGAGTACTTGGTGTAGTCCAGATGTACTTGGGGAATTGATTACAAAGCTTTTTATTAAATGTTTGTGTGTCTCGGTCCCAAATTATTGGAATAAATATATATGATAATAAGATTAATGCACACAGGGCAGATAAAGATTTTGTTCTAAAGAGATATTACTATAACGCAACAACTGTAAGCGAGGTTAGGTAGTCACATAATAAAAAAGAAAAACGAAGAAATTCAAGATATAGAACATGGAAGTGGTTTCCGATGCGGCAGATCATGTTTGGATAATATATTTGTCTTAGACAAGTAAACGAAATACGTCCAGAAAGGAATAGAGATTCCCACCTGGTATTCGTAGAACTTAAAGGGTATAGTAGTGTCCCATTAAATAAATTATTTGAGGTGCTCCTAATATAGGTAAAATATAAAAATATAGATTCTAGATATGTGAGAGGAATATTATATCCTATACAAGAAAACGGAGAGTAAAGTCAGGATCGGGAAGAATATCCGAAGAAATTCACCCAGTGTTGCTACCTCTTCCTTATATTATTTAAAATTTATGTATAAGAATCGGTAAAATTACGAAAAACGCGTCGCAACATGGGAACTAAAATTGGACAGGACTGCAAACGTTTATTGGAAGGGTTAAGTGTTGGTTGCTGAGTAGTAGGACAATAACGTAATGGACAAACATGACACAAGATATATAATCGGGAAGTTGGGAAAGAGTATTTTAAATAGGGTGCCGCCATTAAAATTACAAAAACCGAGTATCTACTAGAAGAGATAATTTACAAAGTAAAATTGCAACAAATATTTTTTATATTGTTATCATAGTTACCAACAAAATTATTCATTTTTAATGTTTGATAACGCAGTCCATCTTCTTGTATACTGAAAATATAGCGTACAGTGATTACACTTCTATAGATTCCATCTTACGATATCAAATAGAATAATATCAAAGAAATCACATTTTGATTTTAAACGTACCTTTGTATTCATCTGCAAATTTTTATATTCATCTTTTAAAAAAGGATAGTGCCGACTGTTAGTAAACATTGTAGCAGGCTGATTAATATGTTTTTGTACAAGAGTATCTTTCATTTGCTGTAATTTATTTAGTTCCTTGTTAATTATTTGTTGTTTAACTTTTATCTGCATAGAATAACTCTTTTCTAATTCTGGAATAAAATAATTCACTTGTTAGACACGTTTTAAATAACTGAAATTGATTTACATTTGCACAGAACATAATTTAAAAAATATACTTTACTTTATTAAGACATGAAATATAATGAAAAATAAAAAATATTACTTATATGAAATATAAAACAACTATAGTTTGATGCTTTACAGTCTTTGGTGCTAAATGATGTGAATACGATCCTCCACACTTAGTGGTTCGGATTCGATGTCTGACTGATATACAATACAGATATATGCAGGAAGTTGACTACCCCCAACTTAAGTATGGCACATTAAGAAAAGGAGATGAAATACTACGATGACAATCCGCAGAGAAATATTAAAATCCACAAGGAAACTAAATTCCTGTAGTTGGCTGTATACCATGTACCACAAAAAAATTTTATCTAAAAAAATTCCTTTATAAAGGTATATTAATAAAAATTACCTATCGGGCTACATCACAGAACATTTATGGAATAACTATTCCATGATCAGTGCTATCTGGATTTATATGTTTGCAGCCACTGAAGATGTGGGTAAAAACCGTTTAAATGCAGTTTGAATAACTTTGAATTACATCGTCAATATTTAAAAACTATGATGTTTAAGTCATAAAAGAAATTGATCACATGGCAAAGTAGGACTCCACTGAGGTTGCCAGTCCTTAGACGAAGTATCCGTGAGAATTTGTTGATAGCAACTGATTAAAAAATCAATTCAATGAAATCATTCTTGTGGAACGTTGAAATCGACAAAAAAAACGGAAAAAAAAGGGGTGAGTCAAACCAATTCTGGAATATTCACATATGATGAGGTTGTAAGAAGTTCTCTCTTTGTAAAATTTGCCGACTAACTTAAAGCGTATACATGTTATGGCGAGCACGCCACTGCATGTGTGTGTTTCATCTCAATATTCAAGACCCTTTCGAAGATGATAAACACCCATGCCGAGAATCTCTTAAGTGTTTACGTTATTATCAAGAACTATGAGAGGTTTTTTGTAGATATAGTGTGTATTTCTTAAGTTAGTATAATTCTGTACCGTAAACTGTAAACATCTAAATAAACTTGTGCATTTCCTTCAGAGTTTTTCGTTACTTAATTCTCCATCGAACACATATCATTTTATAAAGAATAAAAGTTACATAACTTTATACAAGGTAATGAGAATATACCGCCGTTGTCTCTATCTGCTTTATATAGGCTACTAAAAGAAATCGGATTTGTTTATAAAAAATGTGGCCAAAGAAGCATTATGGTGGAGAAAGAGGATACTATTCATTGGCGCCATAAGTATTTTAGAACTATACGACGTTTGCTAAGAGACTAGTCCTAATGCTTTCTTCAAAGGGTTAAGTACTGGTTTAAAAGCATCTACCAAACGAGGTTCACGATATGTTTTCTTGCATGCAGGTTTTTCAGGACGTTCCCTTTCTGGTACACAGCGTGTTTTACAGGCTGGATGATGGAGACTACCATGATGAAATAGATGCCTCAAAGTTTGAGTAGTGGTTTAAAGAGACATTGATACCAAATTTACCAAATAATAATGCTCGTATGAATGTCCTGGTAATGGAAAACGCATCGTATTACTTCCCTAACAATTCCTGGAATAAGGCTGTAATCAAGGAATGGCTAGGTGAAGAGAGGAGTGTTATTTGAAATAGAGCTATTAGAAGCAGCTCGAACTTTTAAAGATCAAGTAAATATTCAAAGGCATAAGGACGCAGAAGGCAAGGAGAAACCACTGCATTGAAGATCCAATTGGATATCTCTAGTACAAATATGGCAATGAGTACTAAAAGAAAACAAGAAACTGATCATAGGAATCGGAGCTCAAGATCCGGTAGGGGAGGAACAGACATGGACTTCCAGGTCGTTAACCGGCGAAACCCTTGTCAAGCATCGAACCAAGACAAAAAGTAAAATTATCAAAAGCAAAAATAGGTATGTGAAACGTCAAAAGCATGTATCAACCTGGTAAAATGCATAACATCCTTCAAAAAATAAGAAGAATGAATATAAATATATTAGGTGTAAGCTAAGCTTATTATGAAAGGGAATATAGAAGGAAAACGGGGCATCGGAAGAAAAAAATACTCATGGCTTAAAATATAAGGGATTGGACAAACCTCGATGCCCATGCACTCTTTAGAGCCACACAAGATCGAGAGGAGTATGCCAGAATTGTCGCCAACATCCACTAATTGGATAGGGCACTATAAGAAGGTGTAAGCGAAACATGGTGGTCTAACTCAGGATACCTTTCGACAGGAATCGGTACCTTATATTACTCGGGAAACATTGACAACCAGCATAGACGTGCATGCTACTACAAATAAGGACATCAGACACAAGACTAAATTTGATCCAAGTATATGCGTCAACGACGGATGCAACAGAAGATGAAGTAGAAACATTCTACCAACAAATTGAAGATGTACTAAAAATGACAAAGAACAAGGAAATCGCGGTAGTTATGGACGATTTCAATACAAAAGTCGGCAAGGGAAGAGCTGGAACAATAATGGGAGATCAAGGACTAGGGGAACGTAACGATAGAGCAGATAAACCGGAAAAAGTGGTAAGAAACTAAATCGCTTATATAATGATTAAATAGAGATATCGTAACACTATCAAATCAGTTAAAACATATCCAGGAGCAAATGTCACATCAGACCATAACCCACTAATCGCTTATGTCACGCTTAAGCTTAAACGTATTAGAAAACCCCAAAGAACTTCAAAATTAGATGTTAGAAAACTGAAAGAAGCTGATATAAAAAACAAACTGATTTTACAGAAAATATACGAAAACTTCGATAAATTAGATACTAACACCTACGAGATAAACCAACAACGGGAAACATTAAAAAACTGTTTCTTCGTTCCATACAAAAAAGTAATTAAAGAATCGATAAGAAAGAGAGACTACTAGATGACCGACGAAATACTCGGCAGAATGGACCAAAGAAGACAAGCCAAGAACAAAGACAGTCACAATTACTACGTCATTAACAATGAAATCAGAAAAATGAGAGGGACAACAAACTTACTATGAGGAAAATGTAACGAGATAGAACATCTTTGAAACAAATACGAACCTACATAAAAAGGATAAAGAAATGACAGGGCTGCAAAAAAGAAACCACAACACAACTCTTTTAGATAAAAATGAAAATACTATGATAACGAATGACGAAAAGCTAAAAGGATGGAAATAATATATGGAAGAACTCTTTGACGACGAAAGTGGAAACCTATAAAACATATTTTTCGAGGACAGAGAAAAAAGTATAGAAAATACAAAGAAATATTTATGCAGTAAAGAAAACCAGAAACGGAAAAAGTGGCCAGATAAACTGCCCATTGATATTCTTAAAATAATAGAAAACGAATACATGGATGTCCTCTGAAAGCTCTTTAATGAATTCGAAATTAAAAGAGGAGTGCGACAGGGGTGTGGATTGTCGCCACTACTATTTAATGCATACTTTGAAGAAATTATATAAAGAGCTCTTAAGGGAGAAATAGCAGGAATAAAGGTCAATGGAACACCAATTAACAACATTAGATATGTGGACGATACTATCTTAATATCAGACAACATCCAAGACCTCCAAAAGCTAATGATCAAGATAGTTGAGTATGGAGAAAAATATGGATTATCAATAAATATCAAGAAAACTAAATTTATGAGAATATTAGGGAGAGAGCGGGAACAAAATTCAATAAAAAGAGAAATGTACTTTGTGCAAGAGAACTGAAATTAGCCTTGAGAGTTACACTGGTAAGATGTTATATTTTCTCGACTCTGCTTTACGGTATAGAAGCATGGACACTTAACGCGTCGACTACTAAAAAGTTTAAAGCATTTGAACTGTGGATGTATAGAAGAATTTTTTTTTTAAAGTGAAACTGGAACAAACCATGAAGTGGAGATATCCAGGAGTGGCTAGTATACCTGTTGAATACAAAGCACGTGGTGTTCGTGTGTATTAAGGTATAAAAACGCTTATTAAAAGCTTAAAATTTTTTATTATAAAGAAGATCTTTTCGGAATTGTATCATTCCATCATCAGTTTAATAAAAAAGGTTGTTAAAAAACATTGTGTGGCCACATAAAAAACATTCGGTGGACATCTGGATTTAAAAAATAATATTCTTCGTGTTATTTATTCAGGTAAATGCAATAGACTCTTGACTTGTGTAATGTAAAAAATGAAACATCTTATATGACCCCCTCCACCAACTACAGAGGGTCATATAAGATGCCCCCAGTTTGATTTTTTACATTACACAAGTCAAGAGTCTATTGCATTTACCTGAATAAATAACACGAAGAATATTATTTTTTAAATCCAGATGTCCACCGAATGTTTTTTATGTGGCCACACAATGTTTTTTAACAACCTTTTTATTAAACTGATGATGGAATGATACAATTCCGAAAAGATCTTCTTTATAATAAAAAATTTTAAGCTTTTAATAAGCGTTTTTATACCTTAATACACACGAACACCACGTGCTTTATAGAAGAATCCTGAAGATATCATGGACCGAGCATGTAACAAACAACGAAGTCATGATAAGAGTCAACAAAAGAATGGAAATATTGGAAACCATCAAGCCACGAAAGGTGCAATACCTGGGGCATGTTATGCGTAATGAAAGATACAACACACTTCAATTAATTATACAAGGAAAAATGCAGGGCAAAAGAAGTGTAAGAAGGAGAAGAATCTCAAGGTTGAGTAACTTAAGGGAATGGTACGGATGCACATCAATCGAACTATTTAGAGCGGCAGCATTTAAGATCCGGCAGCGGATAATAAATTTAAAATTCGAAAGAAAGATAAAAGCAAAAATCTGGTTTTGGTTTCGTCAATTAGAAATCTTTGGATTTCTAGATTTTTTTATCAGATGTCACTATTGCGTCCATACCGAAGTAATTTTAGCGTTACTCCCTTTACTACAGGATAGACTGTTTTCACATTCAGAGCATCTGTAAATAGTCGTTCCGAAGATTCCTTTTAGGATGACATACGTATAAGCGAATATAGAGAGGAACTATACGTGAAATCAAATCTAAACTGTCTTTCGCGCAATGAAACTGAATGGCGCAATTATGTCATTCATATCGTTGGGAAAACGGAAACTCAGACGTTGAGTACGGAAAACATGCAGGATGATGTAGACCAATTGATTATACACGCTAACACATGGGAGAGTATTGAAAGCGAATCCTATATATCGGATGTAAAGCGCGACATTAGTATAATTGCATATTTATCACAAATACAACCAAACTTTATCAATAAAAATCATATACTAACCTTTTAATCTTCTTTTTTCCTCTAATTGTTGTTCGTCTGTTAAAACATCCTCGATATTATTCTTATCTTCACTCGCAAGATTTTTTAACTCCGTAAGTAAATTTTTAAACCTACCATCTACTTTTTTCAATTCATTATTTTCAAATCCTACTATCTGAGTCGGATATTGAGTAAACTGTGGGTATTCTCGTTTATTAATACTAACAAATTGTGTAAAATACTGTCTAGGATGAAATTTCTCACTAGTATTTTTCAACAAACAGTAAGTTATTTTAATTAATCGCTTTACGTCGACAGGATTTTGATTTTTATAAAAAGATGTAAGATCACCTGCAGTTTTCAAGCTGAGAAGAACATGTCGCTGGACCATATTATATGCCACCGAGGCGCATAATAAAAACGATATCTCATTGGTCAAAATATGATCCCAAAGCATAAGCCATTCGGTAGATATAAGAACTTCAGAAAAAATTGTTTCCAGTAAAGACCAAATGTAGACCGTTGAGTTTACTTTTAAGGTAACAAGGTGATGAAGTAGTTCTGGATCGTGCTCAAGCAATACATTTTCTGCTATTGCCAAAATATTTATCGGAGCTAAAGGAAAATATTCAAACCAATGTTGACACCAGTTCACTGAAAATAAAGAATAACAAATTAAATTTAATATATATATATATATATATATATATATATATATATATATATATATATATATATTATATATATATATATATATATATATATATATATATATATAATATATATAATTTTGGCAAAAGAAAAGAACCATTCAAAACGTGTTTTTTTGGAAATGTGTTTCATAAAATCTAGCACATCTTGCATCAACAAAAAGTCCGACATGACAAAAATTATATTTATATACCTGTACAAAAATTACACCTCTGTATAATATGTTGCATACCATTAAGACAGGTTTAAAAAGTATAGTCACCTAAGAAGGGCCTCTAGTATTTCTTGTAAAGAAAGATAACATCAATTACACCTAATTACATATTAACCCATTAAGTACTGAATTTTATAATTTTGGAATTTGCTGTAATTTTTCATATTTTCTATAATAGGGGTGTCCAAATATTGTATATAACTAATATTTTAAATACCCGTCTAATAATAACAATATTACAGCATGTGCCATATATGACACAGTAGTCCCCTATACTACTAAAGTAAACAAATATTTGGACAGATGTATTTTTATTGTTAAGTTTACAAAAATTATGAAAATATGAAAATCGCTTACAAAGCTTCAATTTTGTTTGTGAAAGTCACTAAAGCACTGAATACACAGCCCTACATTGCATTTGCCGCATTGTGTTCTCACAGCGCTCGATTGTGCGTGACTGCCGGCACAACAGCTTCTTTTATCATTCGGAACATATTCAACATAGTGATCACTGTGATCGTACCTAATATCGACAGCAATCCTGCTTTCAGGTGAATATGTAGCTGGTCGTCCAGCAGCTTTAGGTAGATTTTTAAACCTTTTTAAATACACTTGTGCTATTTCTCTTCGAAAATTCAGTTGGGATGCACCTGGGTGATGTTTTCTATATATTATCCACGAATTTTGGATAGATGTGTCTAGTAGCCAAGTAAAGATGAGCCACCACCATTTCCTGCCTCTAATTCCAACTCTATAAACATTTGTATTCGCATCCATTTGATCGGTACCCCCCATAAAAGCATTGTATTTTCCAATACAATTAGGTCTAGGAATCCCTATTTTCTTTTTTTCAGTCGATGAGTATCGGCTTGCATTCGATACTAGAGAAACTCCATGAACAGTTGATGCTACAGTAACTACAGAATTATCCATCCAGCGTGTCACCATTACTTGTTGATCTGTGGTTACAGCATAGTCATAAGTACCTCTAGGTGTCTTTTTTAACTCTTTTACTGTACGGAGTGGACAATTCTTTGTTAGTCTATTTCTCTAACTGTCCCTGTTGCTTCATAACCATTCTCTTTTAAATAATAAAGAATATCGATGGATGTGAATAAGTTATCAAAATAAAAATGGTATGGCAATGATCTAGTTTCCTCGGGCATCTCTTCAATAAGCTGCAATAACGGAGCTGTTGCTTTACCAAATTTTTCTTGATGCTCTCGATTAGAATTTGCCATATTTCTGAGTTTAGTCAGTTTGTCGTTGGGTTCAAGAAGAGTGTTATCGGCACAATGCACGAATCTCATGATCTAAATAAATCTGTCACGGCGCATGGAATTATAAACGGCTGTGTTTCGCATATCATCTCCAGAATCCCAGTAACTTTTTTTTGATGGCTTTTTATCATAACCAGAAACTATAAGAATTGCCAAAAAACATTCCATTTCGTCTGTTGTAATTTTTGGGTCTGAACAATTTTTAAATTGAGCAGCGTATCGAGTAGCCTCAACATAAAGTAACTGTATGATATCATCAGTAATGAAAAGCTCGAACAGGTCTACTGGTGACATATTTTCATACTTCGAGTAATTTGGGAATTGGAAATATCTTTTGGTTTGTAATCTCGGGTAAGTCACGATTTTTCAACCAGTTTACTATTTTTTTATTTTTTTTATTTTTACCAGATTTAGTATAGAGTATGGTATTACCTTCATTAGAGTCTTTATGAGCAATATTTTCAGTATTTCCATAATCGTCAGTACCAATTCGTCTCCACTATTGAATACTATTTCTGCAGACGCTTGAAGTTGTTTGCCTGATAAATTGTCTAGTCCATCACCAATTCATCTCCGAATCTTCGTCTGATTCTTCTCGGTTTTCCGGGGTTCTATATAAACCCGATCAACTGTTTCATTGTGAAAATCCTCCCAAAAATTTTTCTGAGTCAAAGAGATCTGCAATCTCTTGGACTGTCAATCTGTAATAAAAAATAAAAACATTTTTGTAGATTTAACAATTGCGTACCGTAAAAGACTAGCGTGCCATATAAGTTACATGGACAAAAACACATAATTTATGAACACTGGGTATATCTAATGCTCCTTTTTTTACATACAGAAATGTTATCAACTTATCACATTTACTAAATTTGTACACAGATATAAAATTTTTAATACGTACTGGTAAAAAAAAATAACTTACCTTTTATTAGAACACATTTCGTACGTAGTCAAAACAAAGACGAACTCTCAGCTTATAATCACAACAACAAATAATTGTCAAATGTATTTTGCTTTCGCCTGCAACTAAACTACATACTAACAGACCTAAAAACATCTACTAGGGTTTTGAAGGTCACCCGTTAAGCGCTGTAAGTCACGATGAAAAGATCGTTCTTTAGTGTATCATATATGGCACACTAGTACCTAATGGGTTAATTACACTGTTTTTTCTTTCCATTCTCTGTATGAGTTAATATACACCAGTAAAACATGCCATCAATCAAGTTTTACTATTTTTACGACAAATTTTAAAAATTTTATGATGTATTATGTCCATAATTGTATATTTTAATGTGTTGTATAAATGTTGAGTGTCAATGCTTACAAAAATAATCTCAACGACTAGTAAGTTACACTGAAGAATTGTGATATTTTTTAAATATTTACATAATTGTCTTTTACAGTATTTTGAAAAATGAATAAAACCATTCCGAAAGCTCGACAAAAAGTCAAAAGAGTGTTTTTTTTTAACATCCCGGCCAATATTCTGACTGCAACCCTGATAAACTGTGTTGTTTGTATATATATATATATATATAATATATATATATATATATATATATATATAGACAAGGTAGTCCAAAGTTTTTTGACTAGTTTGGAAAAAATATGTAAATACTTTTTTCTTTTTGGTGTGGTAGTCAATAAAAAATAGAGCTTTGCTAAGGCGTACTATTTATTCTGAATTCCGAGCTTTCGGTGGTTATTTGCCACCTTTATCAAGTCTACAATGAAAATTACTGTGTTATAACATTAGCTGATGTAATATAAAAGTTATAAAAACTTACCAGAAAGTAAGATTCATAGCATATAAAACACAACGTTAAATAACATAATGTGACCTGATTCAGTAGACCTTGATAAAGGTGGCAAATAACCACCGAAAGCTCGGAATTCAGAATAAATAGTACGCCTTAGCAAAGCTCTATTTTTTATTGACTACCACACCCAAAAAGAAAAAAGTATTTACATATATATATAATATATATATATATATATATATATCGGAAAAAGGAGTACGACCGTCAATCCAATATATATATATATATATATATATATATATATATATATATATATATATATATATATATATAAGGATCACTCAGACGAGTGGTGGGTTCTTATATCGGTCTCTAGGTGGAGAAATAAAAGACAAAGTTGATAGGCTACTTTATCTATTTTGAAGACGTTTCGCTTTCGAGTTTTGAAAGCATCATCAGTTCATCTAAAAAATTTTACAATATGAGAACCACACAATCATGGAAACGATGTTAATTGTTACCTTAATTGCTACATATCTTTTTAAGGTAACAATTAACATCGTTTCCATGATTGTGTGGTTCTCATATTGTAAAATTTTTTAGATGAACTGATGATGCTTTCAAAACTCGAAAGCGAAACGTCTTCAAAATAGATAAAGTAGCCTATCAACTTTGTCTTTTATTTCTCCACCTAGAGACCGATATAAGAACCCACCACTCGTCTGAGTGATCCTTATATATATATATATATATATATATATATATATATATATATATATATATATATATATATATATATAATATATATATATAAACGAGGTTCCTACTGTCTCTGCCGCTTCTCGCATTTCGACCGCCATCGTTTTTTTTCTGTCCATAAATTCGTCTTCTTTGATGGCTCTATCTCTCATTATGTGCCGTACATTTTCTTCCCAGGCAGCTGAAGGCCTTGTAATTTAAAGCTTTATTTGGCCATCTATTTTCATTCATTCGCTTTACTTGACCATACCACACTAGTTGTCTCGTTTCAATTCTGTCTACACTGGAATATACTCTATTTGTCCTCTTTCTAATATATTCATTCCTGATATGATCTTTTTTGGATACACCACACGCTCTCCTTAGAGAATCCATTTTTACTACTTCTATTCTTTTTCTATCTTTTTGTGTCGTCTGCCAAACTTCTGCCCAATAACTCATAAGTCATAATAGGCTTCGATAGATTGTCAATTTCGTTTCTTCTCTAATATTTTTAGACCATAGTAGAGAGTTTAGAATGTTTGCCGCTTTCTTTTCCTGATGCGTTCTTTTTGATGTCTGTTTTGGTAGTGCCTTCTTTAAAAAATATAGATCCGAGATATTTATATTCATTACATGTTTTTGTGTTTCTAATTTCTAACTCTGGATCGTATTCATCATCTCCTATTTTAAGATACTCTGTCTTTGAAATATTCATATTGAGGCCCCACTTTTCATGTTTTTTTTTTCTTTAGTTTTCTAAACATGTAGTCCCTGTCTTCCTCATCATTCGCTACGACTACCTGATCACCTGCGAAAAATAAAGTTGTTAGACATTTGCCTATGTCTATTCCCATTCCGGACACTTGTTTTCTCCACTGCTCTAGCGATGATTAAATATATATTAAAATAAGGTCGGAGATAGCAACATCTTTGTTTGAGTCCCTTTGTTATTGGAAATTATTCAGATATAAAGTTTCCTTCTTTAACGACACTTCTTGTATTTTTCATATATTTGCGATAGCATCCACATACTCCCTACTGAGACCTACTTTCGTCAATGTTTGAAACAGTTTTCAAAGGTACCGTATCGTATGCCTGCTCTAAATATACAAATAATAGGTGGGTAGACAGATTCCTTGCCTTCCGTTTTTCGATTACCTGCTGCAGTACGAATATATCATCAGTGCACAATTTTCCTGCACGAAATCCATTTTGTTCTTCTGTTTTCGTATTCTAATTCAATTCTTTCTTTTATTATTCGACCGTACAACCTTCCCATTTATCTTTGCCTGTATTCGATTATGGAAGTAGATGTTTTCGATGGTTTGTATAATATTGATTGGTATGTTTCTTTTATACAATAGAGATAAGACGTCTTCGATGCGGATGCGATCGAAAGCTTTTGTCAGGTCCATAAAACATAGATATGCTGGTTTATTGTACTCGACTTCAGTATACCAAAATATAAAGTTTATATTAAGGAAATGGTTAGGTTCACGAAGCACCTAAATTCGGCGCTGTTGTATTCAATGTATTTCTCCACTAACTGGCGAATTATGAAGTTGGCATCTCTTGTCGATCTGTTGTTCCGAAACTCTTGTTGTTCTTCTCTTATAGAGATTATTTTTCTTAGTTATTTGGCCTATTTTCTCCTTTGCAGTGGATTTTTTGTGCCGCCTTTTTTTTAAATTTTCATATAGCAATGCTTGTTTTCCACTACTTCCTCTTCCTGAATTATTTTATAGAAAATTTTCGTGATTTGCAGTTTGCATTTCGTGATAATCAGAGAAAGGCATACCTATATCAGTATGATACATCAAATAAAAGGGAAGATGGCGGGAAATAACAAATAACAACGATTATATGGAGCGACAAAGGCAATAAGTCGTATAATTGGTATTAATGGTTGGATCACAAAGTATCTGACCCTGTTGGACAGAGATGCGCAATACAACGAAATAGAAAATGCAAAGATTAAGTTACTCCAAAACTGAGTTAGTGTGGAATTTTGATATCAATAATCGAGGAAAACAAGTTATATAATATATACCCTTATATACATTGTTTTAACTTACCTATGATAGTACACACAACTTCAAAACATGCCAATGGTTTGTTATGGAACACTTTAACAAATGGAAAGACGAATACCGGTAGATATTCGACATTAGCAAAGAATCGACACCAAGTTACCAAATTATTTAGTAACTTTTTTAAACTTGTTAAAAATAATTTGTCCTCTAAAGGATATTTTTTATGTAAATCTACGAAAGCTACAACAGTCACATGGTTTATGACATTGTTGTAGCTGCCTATATTATTTGGAAGATCCAGTAACCTTTCCCATATTTTTGTTCTGCAATTGTCCGGATATTCGCCATATTCCTTTAATATCAACTTTAGTTTTTTTATGTCCAGGATACTATCGATCTACAACGCAAATAATAGGTATTAATAATATTATATGAAAGATAAGTAGTACACAAAAAAAAATGTAATTTTATACATCCATATAGGGTTTTGAACATTTTTTACCTATACATAAATATATCTTTAAGACTGTATTAGCAGTCAAAATACACTGCGATTTGAAATAGGCGTATCACTTACTTTTCTACACTGCTTACGCCAGCCGACGACGGGTACAGCTGTTTTCGCAGTGGCGCCGGCGGCGGGTGGTTTAATGACAACAAATGCATTATTCTACATTCAAATTACTTTTGTCGGGAATACCTTTTTTGTTTGATTATCGTAGATGTTTTAAAAATAATTATCACATTTTTAATTTATATGTCTTAGCTAAATATAGTATTGAATAAAAATTTGTGAAACGTGACTGCAAAAAACATCATGGTGTTTATTTATAATAAATTTAAAATAACATAAAAATATTATTATCAAAAAAAATACAATTTGTTGTCACAAACAAATAAACAATTTCGCAGTTATAGCTTGAAAATTATTTCAAATCAAACTAACTGACCGTACGTTCATGAGATTTGACGTCACGCAGCCGATAACGGTGAAACTAAATGCCAATGATGAGTAACACGTTTCACTATTAGATTTCAGTATTTTTTAGCAATTTTCTTCAAAGTTTGAACACGCTTTTCTCGATTATTACTGGACATAAAAAGGTGAAAAAAAAATCAACGATTACAGAAAAAAAATCTTTCAAGTGATGGGCGTAAAAAGTTTGGTTATAATAGAACGTTAAACTGCATAATCCGATATTTCGAAAGAACTTTCAAAAAAATTAAAAAAGTAAAACCATCAGTTTAAAGGCAACATAATTTTGAATAACATGTCCAAATTTCGAGACATTTTGTCGGTAAATAACAGAGAAAACACTGTATCTAGGTTTTGGTGTACCGATAAAACAGCCTTAAATCTTCTAGTTTACAGCGAAAAGTCCATATAATTTTATTCTGTGTAGAAAATACGTGGATTTTGATAAGATCAGTTAAACCAAAAGAAAAGAGAAATCAAAAATAGTGAATTTAATAAAAAGATAGTGCATGCATTAAATCAAGTTAGCATGCAGCAGATAAACTCCAATGATATTGATGATTTGAATAACCTTATTACTGAAACAGTGAATAAAAGCCTTCTGCAACTGAAAAAACCAAAAACAACATACAATGAATTAGAGAAAGAAATATTACAACAAATAGAAAGAAGGAAGATCTTAAATAAATCTAACAAAAGGGAAACCGACGAATATAGAGAACTTAATAGGCAGATTAGAAAAGAAATCAGACAACAAAAAGAAAAGAAAACGAAAAATTAATAACAACAACAATTGAAAAAAATAAGAGTATGAAATGCCTCAGACCGACAATAGGACGACGTCAGATGATAGATAGCATTAATGGGAAAAGACAAAAATGAAATCACAAGTAGAGAAAAACATACTGACACGAATAGAAGAATTTTACACAGAACTTTACAGATCACATCAACAAGATGATGAGATGAGACCAGCACGGGAATTATAAAAAATGTTGGATCAGAAATAATGCCAAAATTAACAATTTCAGAGGTAACTACAGCATTGGAAAACATGAAGAGAAATAAAGCTGCAGGAGAAGATAGTATTACCACAGATATGATATTAGAAGGAGGTAAGGAACTAATTGCAATTGTAACTAAGCTTGTGGACAGTTGTATGCATCAGGGTAAAGTCCCTAAGAGCTGGAACAACTCTAAAGTAATCTTATTACACAAGAAAGGTGATAGTCGAAAATTGGGAAACTACAGACCCATCAGCTTACTGTCACACCTGTTTAAAATACTCACCAAAGTCATAACTACTCGACTAACAAGGAAATTAGACGAATACCAACAATATGAACAGGCAGGTTTTAGAAAAGGCTATTCAACTTCCGATCACCTGTTAACCACAAAAATATTAATAGAAAAATGTAACGAATACAAGTTTTCAGTTTTCCTAGCATTTGTAGACTACGAAAAAGCTTTCGATACCATAGAACACACGGCCGTAATAAACGCAATGCAAAAGTGTAGAATAGACAGCAGATATATTAACTTAATAAAAGAAACTATGAACCAAGCTACAGCTACATACTACTTAAATGAAAATGAACACACGAACCCTGCACCATTAAACAGGGGAGTCAAACAGGGAGATACTTTATCACCCAAACTGTTCACCTTAGTTTTGGAGGACGTTTTTATAAACCTACATTGGAAATATAAGGGAATAAACATCAATGGCCGCTACCTCAGTAATCTGCGATTTGCAGATGACATAATCCTGATTCCACGAATATACGACTGTTTTAAATTCGCTTTAAGGTGTCGACTTAAATGGTCCAATGTGCTGAATTGTACAATGGCAAATTCTCCCCCATTTTTAAAAAACTGTTATGACAGATATACACCTTAGATTTAAATATGAAGTTATGATCTAAATATAGAATTGATAGTTTATAGAATAGTTGTAATTCAGATTTTGAAGTATACTCGTATAATTACTCTCATTGACTTTAGTATTGTAAACAAGTTGGTTTTTGAATTAAGTGATTTAAACAAAGTGTAAGAATACTTAAGTGACTAAATAGTTTAATTTATTTAGTCGAATATTCAATTAGTATTAAAAAAACAAAAAAACTCTTACTCTTACTCTTATTCTCCTAATCACCATTACAAACAAATACACTACACTAAACTCTCTCTTAACGGACACGTCCCTTCATCGGACACCTCTATACGGACTGTTTTTAAAACTAAAATCAGTCGGCGATTTATAAAACTGTATGTAAATGTTCGTTACTTTTTAATATCTGTAATGACTCGGTACTTTACCTATCAATAGCCGCCATGTTATACCCGTTACTTTCGGAACTTTTAAGTGTATATCCACTCAAAGCAAACAAAAAACTACCAAAGTGGAATACTAGATTCTTTTCCTGGTTTCTGAACCATCGTTCTACCAATTTCTTTTCATTTATAATAAAAATATATTTCTTTTTACATATCGTTGTAGTACCTAATAAAGTAATAAAGATACCCGGCGCGCCTCTTTGGTGTTTACATTTCACCGAAATCCAACCCAAATGGCTGATGAACACATTTTAACTTCATAGAGGTCATTGTATTTATTTGTAGAAGCGTTTACGTAATTTTTTTTGTTATTTTCGGATTAATTTTCACAATAAATTTTGCGTCTATCTGAACATCTACTAACTGAAATAATTTTAGTTTATATGTAAATAGTAACAGAAGATCCTTTTTTTATGGAATAATAATTAGACCAATTTACTTTCATACTTCTACTTGTACAGTAAAATATTCGTTGTAGCAATAATTCCAAACAGTCGTATATTCGTGGAATAACCTATAGCTACTGACCTACAAGAAATGCAAACCATGCTTTTAGAACTACATACCGAATCTTCTAAAATAGGACTGAAAATGAATTTAAACAAAAGTCATGCACTCCGAAGACACCGTGACAATAATAAACGATAAAGTTATAGAAAAAGTTGAAGAATATATATACTTAGGACAAAAAATAATCCTAAGTAGGGAAACTCAAACTGAAGAAATAAAAAGAAGAAGAAAGTTGGCTTGGGCAGCATTCGGTAAACTGAACTATATACTCAGAAATAAACAAATTCAATTACATCTTAGATCTAAAGTTTTTGATGCATGCATTATCCCGATATTAACTTATGCGGCACAAACATGGACAATAGCAAAAAAGAATATGAATATACTTAGAGTCACTCAATACGCGATGGAAAGAGCAATGCTAGGTATATCACTTAAGTACAAGAAAACAAACACATGGATAAGACAGAAAACCAAAGTCACCGATGTGGTGCAAAAATCATTAAAGTTGAAATGGGAATACGCTGGACATGTAGCTAGGAGCGATCTAAACAAATGGTACAGATCAATTTTAACCTGGAGACCATACCAACACAAAAGACCCAGAGGCAGACCTCCTATGAGATGGACAGATGATCTGAAAAGGATTGCCGGGAAAAATTGGCTACAAGTAGCGTACAATAAAAAACAATGGAAAGGAAGACTTGAAGAGCTTATGTTCAGATGTGGACGTGAATGGCTACACGAAGAAGAAGAAGTTAAACCAAACGGACCAAAGGGAGTTAAACGGGAGTTAAACCAAAACCAGAAGATTGTTTTTTCTATCAATATTAGACTCTCATTTTAAATATATATATATATATATATATATATATATATATATATATATATATATATATATAATTTTTAATACAATTTTGGAAAACAGACTGGGATACAAGTAACATGCACAGGGCTCATTCTGGGCATTTAAAGTTGACAGGTGTACCTTGAATATACTTACGACATAAGCATAGAAATGCATAACGAGCACATGCTCCGTAGTACCTACCTGCTCTCGCACATCGTAGTTAAAACCCTACCAATTGTGCGACTGCTTCCCAATCCAACCCGATCGAACCGAACGCGCTCCATCCACAGAGGGATGCTTACGCCGCCAAGATGAACAGACAATGACGACACTCCCGCTTCGATGACGATATATTTAAACTATATGTAAGTTATTATACAGTTATAGTTTGTTGTGTATAGTGTTTGTTCAATAAAATTACGTGAAATTCTCAAAATATTTCACCACAAGCTCTTCCGTGGTCCTTCAGGTACGAATGGATAATTATTACCAGCTACCAGCAAAGTAATAAAGAAAAAATATCTTTATTTCTCAAAATACGATGCCATATTTGCCGGCTAACAACTCCACGAGGCTTCATTTTGCATAAAAACTGGTTGGCTACACTAAAACTGGATAAAACAAGGTCAATCCATTCCTTTTCTCATTTTCAAACTATTTACGGTCTCTATTTGATTTATTTTGCATTGTTTTCAAACCAAATTAATACATTTTATTATTTCGAATAGTGATAAATATAATTTACATTAAATATCTTAATTACTCTCGTATTAATTGTGAATGTGCTAAACTGATTTTATTATACGAAATTTTAACTGATTTGTCTTGTCTCTACTTAAATGAAACATATTTTTTATTTACTTGTGCAATCATAGTTCATCATCATTTTATAACCATCGAAGTTCACCTAGATATTTATTTCTTCAACAACAAACACATTTTCGTAATTTAAACCTGTATAATATAAGTACATTATATACATTACACTTCATCCCTTATATTAACAAACTTCTTCTTCAGCCTTTATTTATCCATTGTTGGACATAGGCCTCCTCCAATTGCTTCCACGCGTCCCTATCTTTTGCAATTCTCATCCACTGCTTTCCAGATACAGCTGTTATATCGTCTATCCATCTCTTTTTGGGTCTTCTCACACATCTTTTTGTTTCTCGAGGTCTCCAGAATGTCACTTTATAAGTCCATCTGTTGGTGTCTTGTCTTGCTACATATTTATTTTGTCATTTTACATCTTCACACATTTAATCATACTATTAAAACATGTCTAATCTGAAGAAAACTAAGAGAATAGCCGCTAAAGGTGCTCTTACACGTTTCAGAACATATTTTAGAAACATAGAACATAATGAAACTATTGACCTCGTAGACTTAGAAAATCGGTTATCCAAAACGAGGAGCTTTTAGAGGTTTTTAATGATGCTCAACTGCTTATTGAAACTGATGACCCTGACTGTGAGAATAACTATGATACAATACATGCCATTGAAAGACAGTCTTTCGAAGACAGATATTTTAAAATAATATCTGACACTAAAAAACGTATCTCATCTAGACAACCCACTGAATCGTCTGATTCACGCAATGTAAATAGTTCAATAGCAGCTAGTCCTACAAATACAAGCAACATTAAATTACCTTCAATAAATTTACCTACATTTTATGGAACATTTAATCAATGGCTCTTCTTTCGCGATAGTTTCAATTCCATTATCAATGATAACACTTCACTCTCAATAGTACCAAAGTTCATTACTTACGTATTTCTTTACGCGGCATAGCTGCAGACACTATTAAATCTTTGAAAGTGTGTGATGCTAATCACGATATTGCTTCTTCTTCTAGTTCCATGACCGTTATCGAACGTTGGATATCATATTCGCTATCGTGACCATATTCGCTATCGTGACTTTATTGACAGCAGCTCTAAATAACGATGTAGTTGATTTTCCATACCATTGCCTTAGATCTTTCAGCCATGATGTTCTTCTTCTACCAGGACCACTATTGCCTTGGATCTTTCCCTGAATGATCAGATGTAGAGGTAATGGATTTTGGGAACAGCTATGACCTTGAACATTTCACACAAACTTGTGTACTAAATAGGCATAATGCATAGCTCTTGTTAAAATCCAATACATTAATAATATAATTACATATCTTCGATTCTACAATATTGTAAAAGACTTTAAAGAGTCTGAGTAAGAAAAGAGATATTTAATTATATTCTTTGTGGCATTTTCAAGGTCATAGCTGTTCCCAAAATCCATTAACTCTAAAAGATCATATTTTTCAGGGTGTCTCATAATGTGACCGAAGTATTCCAGCTTGCGTTTCTTTATTATATTGACCAGTTGTGTTGTTTGGTTCAGCCGTCTAAGGACCTCCTCATTTCTACCTCTGTCGACCCAGCTTATTTTCAGTACTCGTCTATATACCCACATCAAGCGTTTAAGGATAGCCTCAGTTAGAGTCCACGCTTCCACTCCATACAGCAGGACAGGAAAGATGTAGCAAGATGTCATTCGAATTCTAAGGTCAATGCTAAGATCGTGACTGCAAAGTACGTTTCTCATTTTTACAAAGGCAGCTCGAGCTTGTTCTATTCGGCTTTTAATTTCTGCGGTTGGATCCTAGCTCTCATTGATATTACTGCCGAGGTATACGTGGCATCCGTGGAGTCCAGTGTGGCATCTCCAAATTTTATACCGTCATCCTGTATATAATTTTGTTTGCTAACTATCATATATTTAGTTTTCTTAACGTTGAGTTTTAATCCATACTGATCACAAGTCTGTTTTATTTTGTTCATGAGATTTTGAAGGTCTTCTCCGCAATTAGCAAGCACTAAGGTATCGTCGGCATATCTAATATTGTTGACGTTTACTCCATTCACAATAATACCTTCGGTTGTTTCCATTAGGGCTTCCTTAAATATTTCCTCCGAATATAAGTTAAAAAGTAAAGGCGACAATATACAGCCTTGTCTCACTCCTCTTTTTATATTTATTTCATCCGACAGTTCTTTGACTTTATCTGACCTTTATTCTTGCCGCTTGATGCCAGTATATGCCAATATATTACTTCATGGGTTTTCAGACGCCTCTGAGGCAGCTTACGGTGCATGTATTTACATTATACTGCACGGATACATTTGGAAATTACACTTCAAATATTTATTGTGCCAAAATTCGAGTTTCTGCTATGAAACTATTAACTATCCCAAGACTCGAACTCTGTGGGATATCACTACTTTCTAAACTTGTTAAGAAAGTCACTTCATCTTTAAGAGATTGCTTTAAAAATATCACGTACTGGACTGATTCTAAAATTGTTATTTCATGCATAAACACCTCTCCCCATTTACTTAAAACTTTCATTGCGAATCGAGTAGCACAAATACAGAAGCTGACTAATCTCGAACTTTGGAAGTATGTTAAAACTTATGACAATCCAGCAGATCTCTTGTCACGAGCTATAAATCCTTTATTAGTAATTAATTTCAACTTATGGTTTCATGGCCCTTCTTGGCTCACTTTGTTCCAAGAAGAATGATCTCAATATACAAAACATCAAGAAATTTGTATAACTTCGAAACTACCTGAACTACGTAATAAAACTGTTGTGTTTCATCACATCGACAATGAGTTTATCTTTTATAGAAAATATTCTTCTTTATATAAGCTAACACGCGTTTTTGCTTATGTATTGAGATTTAAAGACAATCTGTCGAATCCTAAACATCTACTAATTACCGGTCCCCTGTCCACACTCGCACTCAGTACTTATCTTTTAACATTAATTAGGTTTGTACAACGTCAATCATTTCCATATGATTATGATGCAATTTCTAATTCCAAACAAATTGACAGAAGTAAACTTCTTGACCTTAACCCATTCTTTGATACTACAACAAAACTAATACGTGTTAGGGGTCGTTTACACCATTCATCATTTGATTTTAACAAAAACACCCCATAGTGCTACCTTCAAAACATCATCTCACGGTACTCATTGCTCGTCATGAGCACTTGAAACTTTTACATATTGGTCCTCAAGCACTTCTTGTTTCTTTATGAGAGAATTACTGACCAAGCTCAGGGTGCAATTTGCTTCGAAAAATTGTTCGTGATTGTGGCCGATGTTCTAGATTCAACAATAAACCCGAACAATATCTTATGGGCAATTTTCCGGCGTCTAGAATCACACCCTCACGGCTTTTTACTAGTAGCACTTTCGTGGGAGCAAATCACGAACTTAGACAATTTATTGGCAAAAACTCTCATGTCATTACGACAGACCTGTCAATTGACGGTATTCACTTGTACTTCATTACTCCAAGCGCTCCCCACTTCGGTGGGTTATGGGAGTCAAATATTAAATGAGTTAAGCACCACATGAAACGTGTAGTAGGTAAAGCAATCTTAACATATGAAGAATTTTCTACGGTTGTATATTAAATAGAGGCTTGCCTCAACTCCAGACCACTCTATCCTCTTTCTAATGACCCTAATCCTGTTACTGCTGCACACTTGTTAATCGGATCTTCATTGACGAGTATACCACAACAGAATTTAATCGACATGAATGAAAATCGTCTTTCAAGATTCAAAGGGTGCCATAGTTATTACAGCACTTTTTAACAAGATGGCCCAAAGAATACGTATCCCACCTTCAGCAGCGGGTCAAGTGGAAGGAGAATTGCCAACAGCTGATCAAGCTTGGACGCATGGTTCTGGTTAAAGATTATGGACTTACTACCTTAAAGTGGCAGTTAGGTAGAATTTCGAAAACTTATACCGGAAGTGACAATATTATGCGGTCGGGTATGAAGGTGGGGGAGTATATGTTAAGTACAAACCTGCTCGCGCACATCCTAGTTTAAACCCTACCAATTGTGCGACTGCGTCCCGATACAACCGAACCCGCTCCATCGACAGTGGGATTCTTACGCCAAGATGAAGGAGAATGACGACACCCTGCTTCGATGAAGATGCATTTAAATTACATTTAAGTTATTATTATAGAGTTATAGATTGTTGTTTATAGTGTTTGTACAATAAAATTACGTGAAATTCTCAAGATCTTTCACCACAAGCTCTTACAGTTATTGAAGATTTTTTTTTGATAAAGTTGGGTCTTTGCCTTTTAAAGCAAAAAATTACCTACAAATTATTATCTAATTAGTCTATGCATTAATTTACCTACTTCTTGTTTAACAAACTGAACTTCGGCGAGACTTCGTTTCCGATTAATTAGAAATTTTTTACGAACTTTTTGGACTCTTATTTCCACAGGGGGCGATAGATATTGTTGTATATTAAAAATTTCTACTTCTCCTGAAGATAACAAGCAGATCGCATGAGTTCCTTTAGTGGTACATACAAATCTGTTTATTTCTGTATCACATTGTAATTGGCTTACAATTTTGTCTTCTTCGATATTTAGAAAGTAAATAATACCTTGACCTAAAAACAGTATTTTTTTAGTACATCTAAAATTAAAAAAAAATTAAGATAACATGCAAATGTTTAGCAAAAAATGTTCAATCATTTTCGTAATGCTCAAACTGGAATATCTTTTTATTATTTGTTTTGTTCAAGTTAGCTGAACATACAGGATGTGTTTATTGTTATAATGATAATCTGGGTGCATAACTTGTCATAATGAGATGACAGTGAAATGATACGCACTTCGGTGAGTTGTCAGCACAGACTTAACTCTATTTCAAGGTTGCAAAACACAGAACACAATGTTTACAATTGGTTAACCAGAGATGGAGCTACATGTTTTTTTATAGCCCTTTTTCTATCCGAATTGTCGAATAAAGGCCTCTCCCATTTCTCGCCATTCATCCCTGCTGTGCTGTTTCCACATTGGTCCTGCGACTCTTTTGATATCGTCGCTCCAGCGCATTTGAGGTCTTCCTCTTGGTCTCTTCGCATCGTACGGTCGCCAGTTTCCGACTTCTTTGTTCCATCTACCATCTTCGAGACGTTCGTTGTGTCCAGCACATTTCCATTTTAATTTAGCTGCTTGTTTCGCGGCGTTCTTTATTTTTGTTTTGTTCTGGATTGCTTTGTTAGTTTGCCGATCTATTAGTGAGATACCAAGCATCTGTCGTTCCATGGCTCGCTGAGTTGGTCGAATCTTATCCATGTTCTGGGGCTACATGTTACTATACAACTATTTTGGGATATTTGAATAGCTATGCTCTGCACTGTACATTTCCTAAACTGAAACTCGCCTGAAATTTTTCAGAATCAGGGCCTTTATAATAATAATAATTATTATTATTATTAATAAGAGAATAATCAGATTTATGCAGGAGAACCTATTAGTAGGCAGGAGGATTACAGTAAGACAGCTTCAGTAGAGCTTACTGTTGATATGAAAATAAAGCACTTTGAGCTTGTTCTATTCAGCCAACCACTCTAGCCTTGCCGAGGAAGATTAGCTGAGTATGAAAATGAGAATTTGGGTTGGTACTTACCCAACTAGGATTATACTTGGCAAGTACCTATTATACTACACGTTAATTGTTCAAATATAGTTATCACCACAGTAAAACAGTATACTCATTTCATTCCCATTCAAGTGTTATACTTCTTATCTAAATTTCTTTTTACATATCGACGGCTTGGTTGCAAATGTGGCTAACTATTTTTCAATTTTTAAGCTATTTCCACAGTAAACCGCCTAATTAGTTTAAGTTTTGTTCCAAATGTGGCGAATTACATTAGTTTAAAAATTGGCGCCAGAATATATAAAGTCATTAGTATCTATGTACACAATGAACGTAGTTCGCAATCTTTCTAACCTACATCTTTCTTCGATGTAGGTTAGCACCATTTGTTTATGGGTGTTAACCAATGGTACAATGAACATACCATAGGTTATTCTGTGGAAAGGAATATTCAAAACATTGTGGTAACATAGAACTTGATGGGGAACATTAAAGTTAATCTGGCTTAACAGGTTTGGACAATCAATAAATCCATGTATGTTCTTATATCACGACGGTTCTTAAGTGAAGGTAAAGATAATTGTTGTTCGATACAGGAATAATCATGATGTTCAATAGTAGTGTGGACACGGTAAGCACAATATCTCAAAAATTTATGCTGGACTTTTTCTATGGCATCAATATTGTTCTAAAAATCTAATGATTTGATCAAATAACTGAACAGTATTCCAACAAAAAGTTTAAATGCCTTTATTGAAATAGAGTTTATGTGGTCACAGAAAGTAAGCTTCTCATCGAAAATAACACCCAAATCCCAAATAGAAGAAATATAATTCAGTGGCTGATTGTTAATAACAAAGCTTGTTCCAATTCCATTAACTTTACGAGAAAAACTTAGAAACCAACATTTTTTTTTACATTTAAGTGGAGTTTGTTCTGATTGCACCAATTTTGTAGTCGGTCTAAGTCATCTTATAGCAAGGCTTGATCCTTTGAGCTATCTATACCTTTCCAAAATTTTAAGTCATCTGCCAACATTAGACATTTGCTATTTAGGAAACAGAAAGTGATTTCGTTAACGAAGATATTAAAAAGAAGTGGAGATGTGTGGCCTCCTTGAGTAACTCCAGATGTTACTCCAGATGTATATATTTAACAATATAAAAAATTTCATTACACGAGTACAGACACTCCTTTTAATAAAAAATTAGGCACACCATCTGGACCAGCAGTAAGCTTATTCTTCTTCTTCAAGTGCCCTGTCCGTTGCGAACGTTGGCTATTAACATCGCAATTTTGATCTTGTTTGCGGCGCTTCTGAATAGTTCGACCGATGTGAGCCCGAACCACTTCCGCAGATTTTGGAGCCACGAGTGTCTTCTCCTGCCTGGCCCTCGCTTCCTGTCTATTTTTCTCTTGACAATCAATTGTAGCAGACGGTACTTATCGTGTCTCAATATGTGGCCTAGATATTCAAGCTTTCTTTGTTTAATTGTATTCACGATTTCTTTCTCCTTTCCGATTCTTTGGAGTACCTCTATGTTGGTGACATGTTCGGTCCAGGATATTCGGATCGGAAGCAAGATCGGAAAAATGTAGCATTTAACTATACGTAGTTTTACGGGAAGAGACAAATCCTTGCTTATGAGGAGCTTTTTCATATTGCTAAATGCTGCTCTAGCTCGATCTATTCTCGCCTTAATTTCTATGGTCTGTTCCCATTTTGCATTTACGTTGGTGCCAAGGTACACATAAGATTCTACATGGTCAATTAGTATGTTACTTATCCGTAATTGTCGAGCAGGTTGTTGCTTTTTGCTTATCAGCATCCACTTTGTCTTCTTGTAGTTGAGGCTCAGGCCGTATTCCTCACTAACTGAATAAAGTCTTTCCATTACTTGTTGTAATTCGTCTATGGTACTGGCAAGGATCACCGTGTCGTCGGCAAATCTTATATTCTTCGTTAACTCGTCGTTTATTTTTATGCCCTCATTTGCATTTTCCATACATTTGTTAAATATTTCATAGGAATACATATTGAATAGAAGTGGGGATAATATACACCCCTGATGGACACCTCTTTTGATCTGCACGCTTTCAGTGAGTTCGTTGCCAATTTTTGTTCTTGCTGTTTGACCCCAGTATAGGTTTGCCACAATTCGAATGTCCTTATCGTCAATACCTGTGTTTCGCAGAATACCTATCAATTGTTCATGATGGACATTGTCAAATGCTTTTCTAAAATCTACAAAGCACAAATACACGTCCTTATCAACGTCTCTATACCGCTGTATAAGCACCTGGAGAGCGAAAATTGCTTCTCTAGTTCCAAGTGCTTTCCGAAAACCAAACTTAAGTAAGCTTATTGGGCAGTTCATTTATGTCATTAAAAATGTCAGTCATAGTAATCTAAATAAGGACAACTATTTGTACTAAAGTTGCTATTTAATGAATGGATAGGTATGTAAAGGTTGTTATTATTTGGTGAATACACAGTTTGGAAGAAGTTCATAAATAAATTAGCTATATCTCTCAACATAAATATAGTGAGCATATTTTTTCCCCAGAGTCAGTATTGTAAGATCAGCAGAGAACCATTTGGGAAAGGTTGAAGTTCTATATTTCTTCAATGCCACAAAGTAATCAATTCCTATAGAGAGAATTTTGTAGAAATTCAATATCATTAACCATGCTTATTTGCCAGTCTGTGGAAGCAAGGAAGATGTTAAGCGCAATGTAATCGCCATTTCGAAAATCATAAAACAACTCATCATAAACTAAGTTAGTTCTATTTTGTTCTTTAATATCGACGTAAGCAAAATTCATAACCCACATGATGGATGCTAGGATCTACAAGGGGATCACTTGCTTTTAAGACATTTAGCCCCTAACATTAGAAAAAACTAAATCCAAAAATACGTTAAAATTATTGGGAATATCATTGTTATTATATGTTAATACGGTTTTAAAGAACAAGTAGCTTGAGCAATATTCACAGCTGGATCATCTGCACGACAATGCACCAATACACCAAACTCATCATTCTCCTATCCCCATCATTGGGGAGATTGTAATCGCCAAAAACATAGATATCCTGTGCTGAGTATTGCAGAACAATATTTTCCACAGTTCGACAATGCCAGTTATATTCTCCGCGAGGTGATTGTGGAGGTATGTTAACACCACCGACCACAAACTTGACTTCATTATATACGTTGACATAAGATATATATTTGCTCAATCCGATCTTCACGAATACTAATGGTGTGTGATTTTAGCTTGTTATTAACAAACACTAGTACACCACCGCCACTCAACTCTGCACTGGTTCTCTGGGATCTATCACATCAGAAGATACTAAAACTATCATATTTAATTTCACAATCAGTTATGCTATCATTCAAGTTACTCTCCACTAAAATAAATATATTGTACAAGCAACAGGAAATACTTTCCAGGATCTCGGAAATCTTTGTACGAATGCCTCCAATATTTTGATAAAAACTGGTAATGCGAAGGATACTAGTTTTTTGTAGTTTAACTTCACAAACTGTAGGACTACCACTGCGGTATCTAATGCATTCATTTTCATCGTCAGCAGATTTTCTTTCCTCTAGTTTCTTTTAAGCTGCCTTGTAAGAGTCTTATTCCATCTTGGTTTAATCCTTTGAGACTATAAACCAAAAATTATCTGAAAATCTATAGGGATTGAAAACGTCCGAATTGCCCCAATAAAAGAGATAACAGCACTCGGTTGCCTTAAAGATAGAATCCCAAATACTGCCGTAGTGTAGTAATTAGTAAACAGTATAGAGTCTGAGGGCTCCGATTGTGTTATGATTATTTGTTAAAGATAAAAAAATGTGAGGATAAAAATATTATTTACTTTGATAAAACTATCACACACATTAATTTGTTAAAAAAGGTAAGAGATACAACATTCTGGAAATAACTAGAGAGTTTTATAAAGACGTCTACACCAGTCGTAGACCACAAGACAATTTTCCGAAACCAGTAAGTACTCTCAT